ATATGCTTCTTACGGAGCCACTCCTTGGTTATCCTGGCTGTGTGCTTTGAGTCGTTGTCATGAGCCACGACCCATCTTCAATGCTCTGACTGAGGGAAGGAGGTTGTTGCTCAAAATCTCACAATAAATGGCCCCATTCATCCTCTCCTTAATACAGTGCAGATGTCCTGTCCCCTTCGCAGAAAAGCACCCCCAAAGCATGATGTTACCACCCCCATGCTTCACAGTAGGGATGGTGTTCTTGGGATGCAACTCATCCTTCTTTTTACTCCAAACACGACGAGTGAAGTTTAGACCAAAAAGTTCTACTTTGGTCTCATCTGACCACATGACTTTCTCCCATGCTTCCTCTGCATCATCCAGATGGTCTTTGGCAAACTTCAGACGGGCCTGGACATGTGATGACTTGAGCAGGGGAATCTTCCTTGCAATGCATGATTTGAAACCATGACGGCGTAGTGTTCTACTGTAATGAGGTCACATTTTCTGTCATCCTGTGTGTCACTGTCATTGTAATAATGTTAGCAAGCTGATGTTAGTATGGCTTCACAGAGTTGCTCGCATGGATGTTGTGAGTTATTATATTCCTTGATACATACTGACAGCTTGAGTTCAGTTCAGCTCACTTCAAGTCAATTCAATTTTATTTGTTATGTGCCAAATCACACAAAAGTAATCTCAGGACAGTCTACATACTAGACCATACTGTTGTTGTTATTGTTGTTATTATTATTATAGAGAAAAACCCAACAAATCCCCCTTGAACAAGTACTTGGCGACAGTGGGCAGGAACACTGTTGCCAACTTGGCAACTTTCTCGCTAAATCTGGCGACTTTTTTTGTCAAAAGCGACTAGCGACAAATCTAGCAACTTTTTCTGGTGTTATTGGAGACTTTTCTGGTGTTTTGGAGACTGACGTGAAAGCACCTATCACTCTACAGTTCCTGTCCTCAACGAGCAGCGGGTGCTGCCGTGAGCCCCTCCCCCGTTCCGAGGCCCACACCGCTCCGCATCCACACTGCAGATGAATCACGCATGCGCAAAGCCTCCGCTGAGCATGGATGGAGGAGGAGGGATGGATGTAGAGTTAGCAATTACACTCCACATAACAGTCTTTTGATTAAATGTGATATTCTAATATTTTAACAATACAGGACAAAATTGATTTAGGTAATGTGGGTCTAAACAAATCATTGAAGTCATGAAGTTATTTTGGGAAGTGATGGCCTATTTCAATGGAAAATAAAAAACAAACTAAGAATCAACAGAAGGAAGTTCATTTGTAGCTGCTAAAGAAAGTAGGGAGATATAAGATAAGAGATGATAAAAGAGAGAAAGATCATAAAGTCTGAAGACTCAAGAATGGGAGGAAAATTAAGGATGGGTATGTGGAGATGATTAGGAAGAGCAGGAAAGATTAGAGGAAAGATTGGAAAACAGCTTTTTGGGGTTTTTGAAGAGAAGGAAAAAGAGTTGAGAGAAAATATTTGTGAATTTTTGGAGAGGATGAGGAAAGATACAAAAGCAGGAGATAATGGAAAGGTATGTGAAAGTAAAGGCGGTTGAAAGGAAAAGAAAGTAGGACAGATTAGATCATTTGGAGGTTTAGGAGAAGAGGTTTAAAAAGCGCTTGTAACAGAGGAATGTGTTGAAGCAACAGAGAGGAGTCAGATGGGCTGCTGCCTAGGGAAATCTCGCAAAACAGCAACAAGACAAATATGTAGAGAGAGAAACAGAAGTGGGAAGTGAAAATAAATTGGTAAGATTTATGAAGCAAGGCAAGAAATGAGAAACTGAAATGAAAATGAGGAGAGAGATCACAGAGGAGACAAGCTGAAGAAGGAAAGCGGGGCAAGAATGCATTGTGTACAGAATGTTTATGGAGAGAAAGTAACTGGGATAGGAAGAGAAAAGTGTGTCAGTAATAAGACAGAAAAGGAGAAAGAAGAACCCCCTGCAGCAGAGAAATACTGTAATACTAAGGCTCTTATCTCTTGGTGTAGCCATGTAAGACGAGGTCTAAATGTTTGTATAGGAACTGTTCACACAAACAAAGTTGATAGTTTCACACAAAGAACAGTCTCATCTTTTCTACATACATCTACTAATGCAGATACAGGCTCATTTATATTATTGATATAATTATATATATATATATATAGACATCTCCAGAACGTATGATCAATTATATCCTTAAAATCCTAGCAGCTTTAACGTAAAGTTATTACTGGGCAAAAGTGCCACACTCCGATTTCATGCACGTGTGCAGCTCTTCATCTAGCAGCTCCTGTGGCTGCTTGCTTGCTTGTTGTTGTTCCATTACTTCCTTTTAAATATCAAAAATAGCCTGGCAAGTTTGAACAGTCAGTGCAAATACATTGTTGACTGTGATTGCATCACAATAAAATCCAGCCTATGTTTCCCTCGTTGAATGTGCAGCAGCACAAGTAGGAAATGTTGGGCTTGCATCAGCAGTAGTTTGATATGACATTAGGTACAGTGGGTACGGAAAGTATTCAGACCCCCTTAAATTTTTCACTCTTATATTGCAGCCATATGCTAAAATCATTTAAGTTCATTTTTTTCCTCATTAATGTACACACAGCACCCCATATTGTGTATTGTGTGTGAAATAAGCATGGTTTATGCGCACAGTATTGTGTATGCGTGTTTAATAATTGAGACCCTTGGAGAAAACACAGGAGCTGGTTGAAGGTAAAAGGTTTTAGAAAGTAAAGAGATAAAAATAGTTGGAGAAATGAGATTTTTGAGAATGGATGGGGTGAGGAGGGATGTGAAGCAGTGAGAGGATAATAAAGAAGAAAAGTCATCCTTCCCCTCCTCTAGATGGAAACCTTGCAGCAATTTCTTGCTTTGCCCTCTTTTCCTCTATTTTTAATTCTTTGTACCACCCTAAACGTGTCTGATGCTGACACAGTGATAGCAGAGGACTGCCCAACCATGGCTACTCATTAACACTGTGTGTGTGCGTGTCCTCATTTTTCTATACTTGTGTGGCCCGAAATCAGAAAATTACTGTCTTCGCAGGGACAAAAAGTCATTTGTGGCGGCCAGAGGCTGGTCCCCATGATGTTCATTGAATTTTATGAAGACATTGAGGTCTAAGGTTAGAGCAAGTGTCTGCTTTGGTTAAGTGTTAGGGTAAGGGAAGGACAAAAAAATAATTAAAATGTGTGCACATCCAATCCAATTAGAACACAGGTGCAGGACAGCAAACCCAAATAATAACACAAGAAAAAAGAAAAAGATGTCCACAACAAACGCATTCTGTAAATCTCAATAAGCAATCAGCACTACCTAATCATTCTCAAACTCATTGTACAAAGTAGTAATACTAAATCAAATATTATTCCAGTAATAAAAAAACTCCCTAAATACAGAAAATTAAAAATAAACAAATAATACAGGTCATATAAGATAAGCAATATCGATATATTTTATAAAAAATGGTTTAATATCCAAAATCTTAATTTAAACAATGAGGGGTAGGTGAGTCACAATACTGGTTTGGGTAAATCTCCTGGAAATGAATGTAAGTCTATGTAGGGGCCCTGTAAGTGATGAAAACAAGAACGTCTGTGCGTGTATTTGCGTGCCTGGTTTTACTATCAGTGTGGGGACCAAAACTTGTTTACACACTGACATTGTGGGCACTTGGCTTTAACAGACAGGCCCCCACCATGTCAATAATTTTATGTTGGGAACTTGGTTTAAAGTCCCCATGGCATGCTCATTTTGCTCGTTTCCAGCCATTTAATGTTTAATCTTGATTACCTCTAGATTAGCTTGGCACCTCTCATAACTCCACATAGGTTCAAAGGTTCAAGGTTCAAAGTGTTTATTTGTCATGCGCACAGTTAGGAAGCGTGTTTCCCTGTACAATGAAATTCTTACTTTGCCGTCCACATGAATGCCACAAAATACAAGTGAAATATAAAGTAGATGAGGAATAACACAAGTCTAAATAGGCAGTAACACAAATCTAAGGCACTTTAAAGCAGCAAGTGAAGGAAGCAAATAAAAATAGAACAAGAACACAATATAATGCGGAGAGAATATATGCTACATGGGAGCCGTGGAGTGTAAATACTCAGCATTGAGTGTGCAATTATGCATGTGCAAAATGAGTATGTAAACAGTACAGAGGGCAGTGGAGTCCTGGTGATCTTCTCCGCAGTCTTTACCACTCTCTGAAGGCGCTTGCGGTCCATAGCAGTTGTACTGCCATACCAGACAGTGATGCAGCTGGTCAAGATGCTCTCGAGTATGCAGCTGTAGAAGTCACTGAGGATCCTAGGCGACATGCAAAACCTCCTCAGCCTGCTCAGGAAGTACAGCCGCTGTTGGGTGTGCTTGACCTGTGTGGTGCTAAGTGTGTGGTGCTAGCTGTGTGGTGTTAAGTGTCCAAGTGAAGTCCTCACTGATGTGGATGGCCAGGTATTTGAAGCTGCTCACCCTCTCCACTTTGAGCCCCTGGATGAACAGTGGCTGATGAGATCTCCTTCCTCATGTCCACTGTCATCTCCTTCGTCTTGTCCGTGTTGAGGCTGAGATTATTGTCCTTGCACCATGACCTGCGACACAGTCGTGGGTGAACAGGGTGTAGAGGATGGGACTGAGGACACATCCCTGCGGGGTGCCGACATTCATGATAATGCTGGCTGAAATCCTATTACCAATCCTGACAGTCTGGGGCCTGCCAGTCAGAAAGTCCAGGAGCCAGTCACTGAGGGTGGGGTGCAGACCCAGTGTGGACAGTTTGTGGGGGACACACTGTGTTGTGTTGAAGGTGGAGCTGTAGTCAATGAAGAGTATCCTGATGTAAGAGTCTCCATTTTCCAGGTGAGAAAGGGAATAATGGAGTGCAGCTGCAATAGCGTCTGAGGTGGCCCTGTTGGGCCAGTAGGCATACTGCAGGGGGTCCAGGGTGTCCGGTATACTGCTCTGGATGTGGGCTAGCATCACTCTCTCAAAACACTTCATAATGATTGGGGTGAGTGCTACTGGCCTGTAGTCGTTCAGGCAGGTGAATCATTGCTCATTAATCTGATTGTTAACCAGCACACATGCGGCAGGAACACTGACCTCAAGCAGTCAAAACAAACAGAGGTGTATTCAGAGGTGTCTCTATATTTTTGTCCTCCTCAGCTACATACATGAGAGGGTCAGATTATTAGGAACACCTCTGAATACAAGTTGACCTTTTTTGAAATAGCATTATCAAGAATGGAAACTGCATGTTTCCTCTCTCTCATTTTTCTCATTAGTTTGTTAACCTTGCTAAAAGACAAAAAGCTCATCTGCTAGCAACCCTGTCAAATGTTTGTACACTTTGTACTTAAATCTTCATGCTTACTGAATTTATTTTGCTAACCTGAATGTTGACAGCCTTGCAGCATTGTAGTGCTCTTTATGGTTTCTAAATAAATCAGATTTTTCACAGAAGACATTTTGCCTTGTCAAAGTAAGAAAAGCACAGGTGGATCTAATATCATTAATAATGACTGTCTTCCAGCAGTTAATTTTATTAGTTATCATAAAGTTATATTTATGTACAGTATTTTCTTATTTTTATTATGTCTTAGACATTGTGCATGAGAACCTGAAGATGGGTTCTGATGGGGAGAGTGACCAGGCATCGGGAACATCTTCAGATGAGGTTCAGTCTCCGACTGGTGTCTGTCTGAGGACCAGAGTCCACCGGCGGATCTCCATGGAGGTGAGGTATACACACACACACACACACAAACATTCACCCCCTGTATGAGTACATGGCGAATCTGCTTTCCACCCTTCACCCCCTCGATCCTCCGTCTGCTCTTCACTTCCACATCCTCTTCTGCTCCTCGGCCTCAAAGGAGATCTACGTATGTTGAAAAGGGGTTTGGAGGAGAAGTGGGGGGTCCTAATGGGTTCTCTGTGTCATAATACTGATAGCAGGTCTGCTCCCTGAGAACAATCACAAAGGCTGGTAAAGAGATGCAGTGTGATATTCTCATGTAATGATTTTTTACATGTTGTCCATCTTAGCACAGCTATGGCTGTCCCCATTGTTCCTTTTGTGAGGATGTAGCCGTCAATAATGCACAATTAAATGTGCCAAAGAATGGGAGAACATTCATGTGGAGGCTCAATATATGAATTAAATGATATTTACCATTTATTTGGCCCCAAAGAGGGGAGTGTCAGGCCATGCCATCATAAATCTTCAGAGCCCCACAATAAGCCTTTTCAGACCTAACATTGTAAATAATGTCTTAATAATGTCAGCAGCTGTGATCACAGGAACATCAAACTGATTGGGGATGATTTTTTAGCCTTTCACTTGACTGTGCTTGGCAATCCAACAACACTCATATGTATGAAATCTGAAATTATATAAAACTGAGACAAATACTCACATTTGAGAAGCTGGAACCAGAATATGTGCTGAATGTTTTAAGTTACTAGAGTGGTTAAACAGTTATCTGAATTATTGGCAATTAGATTTTTTTTTTTAATTCACAACTAGACAGCACTCAGAGAGCACAGACTTCCGCCAAGGCAGCTCAGGTTCCCCTGGCAATATCAGAATCTGAATCAAAATCTGCTTTATTGGCCAGGTGTGTCGTGTGGTAGTGGAAACGGACAGGACCCAATAAAGATGCCTGGAGACCCGGAGTAGCTTCGAAGACGTCTTTTATTTCATGCAGCATGGAGGGAAGTCATACACAACTTAGCAGTCGCGCAGAGTTCTCTATCTGACTGGTAAAGGGCAGTCCCTTTTATACCAAAAGTGATACAATTACACATCTATAAAACTCATACCATTGTCTCATATCTAACAACCCACATATCGTCCCCAGCTGTCTTTGGTGCCTGCACCTCTTCGCGACCAGATAGCCCATTCACATTTAAACAAAGACAAGTCGGCTTGTTTTGCATTCACACACAGACCCACTTAACATATTGCAAGTTCTGCTTTGTCTTGGGATGTCCTGCAGAGACCGAGGGCTCGACATCCTGAGATGACCACTTGGCCAGTTTAACATACAAATTAACATCACACATACACACAGACACCTGGTGTAGATCACATTCCAGCAGGGAGGTGTGATCAGACATCCACAAGCTGAACATATCATGCTACTAACAATATTCATCCTGCCTGCAGACTCTGCAATCTAGTTGACCTTGGCCTAGATGCAGCCTGCAGAACTCATGACAATGAACTGGGCATTTAACAGCCTGAGCTAGACATCCTGGCTACACTTAAACATTCCTATACAACAAGTATCTAATCAATATCTCACTGACTAAGAAATTACCTAACAGTATATTTACAGGTATTGCACTCAGGGTTATTGTCCAGTTCAGGGTTAGGGTTAGAGTCAAGTCAGAGTGACAGAGATGCAGTCATTGGTGTAGAGCGAAAACAGCAGAGGGGAGAGCACACATCCCTGGGGGGCACCTGTGCCTATTGTCCAGGTGCTGGATGTGGATTTCCCCAGAAACAATGTTAGGGATGCTAAATCAGCATCCATACAATAATAAAAAGAAGAAGAATAAAGACCAGGATAACATAGTATGGATGCTGACTCAGCATCCATACAATAATAATAAAGACCAGGATAACACAGTATGGCTGCTGAATCAGCATCCACACAATAATAAGAATAATAATAAAGACCAGGATAATATAGCATGGATGCTGAATCAGCATCCATACAAATAGCAGTATTAACATCAACAACCAGTGCAAACAATGCAGAAAAAGCAGTATGAATAGACAGTAAACAATGCAGACAACAAGGGAATGTTCATTGAAATGAGATAATTAGGGATAAAAATAAAGTACTTAAACTGAGTACTAGAGACCTGTACGAGTTTGTATAATCTGTACAATGTATATTTACAGGTCGGGGAAGCAGCTGCTGGATCTGAGGTGGGGAGGGGGAGGGGGGAGTGTTGTTTGTCAAACCTGCAGTAGAACACATTCAGGTTGTCTGCTAGTTGACAGTCCTCCACAGCAGGGGGGGGATGGTTTTCTATAGCCAGTGATGTTTTTCAGGCTGACACCTGAGCTTTCAGCTTTTCAGAGTAGCTGAAAGTAGAGTCCTGTCCCCACATCTGTAGGCCTCCTCTTTGGCGCGACGACTTAGCCTCCTCAGTCCAGCTCTTCACTGTTTTGACTACAGGCTTTGCGACTTTAAGTTTCTGCCTGTAGGTTGGAATAAGATGGGTCAGTGACCTGAGAGTCCGAGGGCTGCGTGGGGGACAGAGTGATAGGCGTCTTTTATTGTTGTGTAGCAGCGGTTTAGTGTGATTTTGTCCCTGGTGGGACAGGTAACGTGCTGTGTGTATTTGGGCAGTTTGTGGGTGAGATTTGCTCTGTTAAAGTCCCCGAGAACAGTGAGTGGAGAGTCGGGATGTTCTCGCTCCATGCTAGTTATCTGTTCTGCCAGGAGCTGTAGTGCGCTAGCTTGGGCCTGTGGCTTTAAATAGACACCCACCAGGATGAAGCTTGAAAATTCACAAGGAGAGTAGAAGGGTTTGCAGTTGATAAAGAGTCTCTGTGTTACATGTCCTCTGTAGCACTGTGACATATTCTTGTTGTAGTTTGACCTTTATATAATGGTTGTGTGTCTGTTTGACCTAATGCAGGGTTTAGCTACACACACAAAGTACAGGGACAGATGGGAGGATGAAGCCTGTGCTTTGACTCATTCACATAAAATCCTTCCTGCAGGGTTGTGCAGAGGTGTGGATGTGTTTATATATGCTTTAGAACGTAACCACGATGAAACTATGGCAAGCCATCAGGTTCAACAAACGTGGACATTAACACGTTTAGTAACTGCATGTTAATACTTTTAAGATGCATTAACACATATAGCGATGATACAGTATATGGTTATGACCTGTTAACATGTTACAGCTGGAAGCAACCAATTCGGCCAGTGATTTAAGGGGAGCCTATCACTTATTTAGTTCAGGCCTCTTATATATATGTTTGGCATTCTCATCTCTCTGGGCTGTGGATAATAAGTGAGATGCAGCAATTGTGCAGTAATGTTTTTCATCTTTAATTAATGCCAAGATGGCAAGACTAAAATACCAAACTATACAAAAGAGTATTAGAAGTCATTGTTTTACACTCCACAAAATTGCTCTGCTGAAGGTATCCCTATTTAACTACCCCACACTAAGTGGAACTAAGCTTAACCATGGAAGTGCATCTACATATGGTACCACAGTCTCTATGTTCGTCAGACCCTACTAGCCATGGTATAGGCATATGTAGGACCATATGCCAGGAAGAGTTGACTCTTGTATTATTAGCCAGTAGCACTGAAACTCCACTGGACACGTTAACATGCTCATCCGCTGAGCCCGATGCCCTGCCATATGAAACAATCAGAAAATAATGTTTTATTTATCCGATTTACTGCTTTGTTTTGTTTGTTCTGAGCCCTCTCTTTATTCACATGCTAGCTTGTGCTACCATTGCTGCTTGCTCTCTCTGTTGGTGGAGTAAATTTAGAACACAGGCAGTGAAATTTGTCTGAGAGATAAAGAGAGTGGCTCTTAGGTACCACTTGGATCATTTTATTCCTACCCATGAGCCCTTACACAGAACATAACTAGAAAATTAACAGGCCTGTGCTGCAGTTCTGTTGAATGTCTGGTGTTAGCCACTATGACCAGTCACATGACTGCAAACTATAAATTGACCCTTTCTCACAATGGTGACAGGAAGCAGCAGATAAATTGTTTTATGAGCACGATTTAAGTACCTGTGTGATCTCAGTTTCATGTGATGATTCTGCTGTTTGTATTAGCAGTGCGATCTCTTGCATAAAAGCCAAGTGCTCCCTTTTCTATAACCAAAGTTGGATATAGAAAAAAATCAGAATTGAGCACTAAGGCTTGCAGTGTGAATGTATTGTATTAGGCGCAAAACAATTTATTTCTAACTCAACTGTTATTCAGCTCTAGGTGTATAAGGCAGGCAGTGCAACCTTCGAAAAATAGTTGCAGGAGGGCACAGAATGTCTTTTACAATGTCAAACATGTTGGACTTGTTTTTGAATTGGT